CCCAGGAGTTTACGCTCTCGCTTGGAGCCTCCTCAGCCTGCTCAAGGGTCGCTCTGTCGCCCTCAGGCTCCGCGCTCTCGCGGTCGGCCCGACCCGCCTGCCTCATCGTGCCGGGGCTCACCCAGAAGCTGACGTGCAGAGAAGAATCCCCACCAGAGGGGGTACGTTCGTATTCGAGGGGAGCGGGAGTCAAAGGCTGGGGGTAAACACAGTGGACGCCACGCGATCCAGGCGGAAGAAGCTCTCGGAGTAGTGATGACTGCGGCGCAGCAGCCAGCATCATGAGAGGAGTTCTCCCCAAAGGGGGTCCGTTCTCATCGGATGTGAGGTGGCGGGATATGCGGTGAAACGGAGCGCCCCCCAACCAGGAAATCGGTTTCTCGGTTTCGTGTTCGTGTCGTGGGTGCGGGCGAAGCGCTGCCGCTTGGGCGGGCTGGGGGAATACACCCTCCTGGCCAGGGCGCCGCTGGGCCAAAAGACCGCCCCGCCCCCAGGTTGTCAGGTGGTGGCTGGGGGTGCCCCGCCCGTGGTGTTCCGTGGTGTCCCTTGGTGTCCCGTGGTGTCCCGCGGTGTCCCGTGGTGTCCCGTGGCACGATGTCCCGTGGTGTCCCGTGATGTCCCGTGAGATCGATAGTGATATCGATAGTCAGACGGGATAGATAGATCGATAGTCAGATCGATAGTGAGATCGATTGCGAGATCGACAGTGAGATCGATTGCGAGATCGATAGTGTGATCGAGTGTGATCGATAGCGGGATCGATTGAGTGAGACATTGGTTCTTCTGAACCTCCTTATCTCCCGAAGGGTGGTTGTGTAATTACGAGTGCGGCGGGTGTATATCAAGCATCTGGAGTAGGAATTATACGCTCGCTTGTCGGTCTATAACGCTAGACACGTCGCCGCGCTCTTCGCCAGTTTACAATCTGATCACGTGCACATGACCCGATTTCGAAGCGACAGGCTACGTCGGCGAGCATGACTGACGGCAGTTCTTGGGGGAGATCTGCGATTTGCTTGACAGCTTGCCCACGTCATTGATAGATCACCACCGCCTGCGTATCCCACATCGGTCGACGACCGCTTGGAAACCGACTGACCCTGTCTCAAAGCAAGGACGATCGACTGTTTCCTCGCCGCTGAGACGTCCGCGATATACGCGCGGGGGTTAGCGCTTTGGGTGGGACATCCTCGCAAATCTGCCGCAGCAGAGCCTGTCGAATTACTGGGGCTCCAAGTCATGGTGCCGTATTGCCTGCTGTCCGTTTTGCTGAACAGTCGAGTTGTTCTGACTGGCGCAACACAGTGCCACCCATGTCTGAGCGATCTCATATTGAGGGGCGAGTGCGTTTCTACGACAAGGGGGCTCTTTGCCGCCCCAATCTTCTGTTGACGGCCAAGAAGACCCGCGATCGCAGCAAGACGGTTGTAGGAGGCTGAGGGAGGCCCACAGAGCTCCAAGAAGGCCCCTAAGAGCCCCCAGAGGCCTCCCAGAGGTCTTCGGTGTGCCTGGCGGTAAGCCTGCCCACTCGGCCTCCAAGACGACATTGTACTGCCTAACTGCTTGATAATGCCCCAGGTGGCTTCCAAGATAGGGGAAGTTGTGGAGGACGGCTATACACTTGATGAGTTAGGTGAAATTGGAGTTTGGTTGGTGAGACAAATGTGACCCGAACCAGGAGTTCGGTTTCGGTTCAAGCCGGGCGTGCGGGCGAACATGTCGGCCAAGGCTAGGGATAGTTCGGCAGACCAGTTCAGAGTGCATCTGGCGTGGGTTGCGGGGTTGTCCCGTGATGGTATTGTGATTGTGCTGTGATTGTTCCGCGGGTTGTCCTGTGGTTGTTTCGTGGTCGTCCCGTGGATTGTCCCGTGTTTACTCCGCGAGCGTGAGTTTTTTTTGTTGTTCCGTGGGTTGCAATCGAACAGCGCGCCGACATGCACATCAGAAGGCACATCAGCATGTTTTTCCAAAGTCAAAGCGGAGTGCGAATCGAACTTCAGTCCAAATGCAATCCACATGCAAAACAAACAGGCATGTCAATTACATGTCTATCGACATGCACATCGAAGTGCAAGTTCCTCAGTCCTCTAACCTTCTCATCACTCCAACGGTGGGCTATGATACATCTTCTGCCAGCATTCGTCACCGTGAAAGGGCCTCGTGGCAATGTGAATACATGTTTCAGGTTTACCATAAGTGGATGTCGTGATGTCCAAGTGACGCGCAAGCAGGTTGTCCACGTTTAGCATGGCGCCAGGTTCTTGGAGTCATGACGCGTGCATGGCATGTGTTGCTGAATGCGTTACGCCGTATGCTTCCTATCAGGGTCCAAGGGTATTTGCTTGTGCGGACGGGCCGCCGCCAGCCGCGCTGAGAAGGGCTCGCCCGGGTGAGGAAAGGATTTGGAACACCTTATGTGTAGCTTGAGCCAGTGTCGGCATGCCCACGAAATCCGCTGGGCCCGTGAGTGCCATGACATCTGCTGGACTGCCATGGTCGACGTCGGAGGACAATGAGGCCGAGGATGAGGAGACGGAGGGGGATGATGATGATGATGCTGATTTTTTTTCTTCGTTTTGTCGTTCGTGTGATCTTCAGTGGTTGTGTTCATAACACGGATGTCGTTACTATGTCAAGGACAGCTGCGGTGAACCACCGCCGCCCTCTGCTTTTTGGAAGCGCCTATGTTGCCAAGTGTTGGGCTGAAACCTGGCTAAGATATTTGACAATGTGTTTCCCGATCCGTCGTGGAACCCCTTGGGGGAACACTGAGGGAAGGGCACGCAATTCAAAGGACCACCGACATTTATGAGGAAGCCACTAGAAAAGGAAGCCGTGGCTACCTCAGCCTCCATTGCTTAGGGGGATCCTTGTTCGGTGGCGACGGGCCCGAAGATTCCGAAGGGCCGTGGAGCGAGCCCTGCTAGTCTACCATTCGACTGGGCCATTCCAGTGGTCCAGCCACATAGCGGACTGGCGTGCGAATGCTGATCAATCTAAGCTCAGGCAATACACAAAAGGGCGCTCTGTGACCATCTGGCTTCCACGCATGAGCTCGTGACTTGGCGGAGGGATACTAGAAACAGTTTCAGTCGCTTTCGACCCCAGTCTCGGCGGACGGCACCGGCATGATGCCAGCCCGCTAACATTGGCGAGCGCCTTGGCCACCGGTGGCACTGCAGGTGGCCCCAGTCGCCCAGGTGCCGCCTGAGAGTGTCGAGGAGAGAGCTGCGCGCGGAGGACACAGTGGCAGCAGGATCAGGGAAAGGGTAGCATGGCAGGAAGACGAGGAGGAGGAGGAACAGGAGGTCGGGACAGGGAGCGGGAACGGTAATGATGACGATGATGCTGCGCCTGATGATGATGCTGATGATGGTTCTGCTGCTGCTGATGATGATTATGACGATGATGCTGCTGCTGATGATGATGATGATGATGATGAGATGATTGTGATGATGCTGATGATGCTGATGATGCTGATGCTGCTGCTGATCATGATGATGATGGTGATGCTGCTGATGATGCAGATGCTGCTGATGATGATGCTGATGCCGATAATGGTAAACACGACACTGATCATGATACGTATGATGATACTGCTGGTTGTGATGCTGTTGATGGTGATGTTGTTGATGATGAGGCGGCTGACTATGATGATTATGATGATGACGCTGATTATGATGATACCGACGCTGATTATGATGATGATGATGATGATGATGATGATGATGATGGTGATGCTACTGGTGATGATGATACTGTTCTTGATTCTGATGACGATGATAATGCTGATGGTGATGGTGATGCTGATGCTTATGTTTATGTTGACGTTGTTGATGTTGTTGTTGGTGGTGGTGGTGATGATGATGAGGACGACGATGATGATGCTGATGAAGATGACGCTGATTATGATGATGCTCATGCTGATGATGGTCATGGTGGTGGTGGTGGTCATGATGCTGATGTTGCTGCTCCTGATGATGATGCTGATGATGATGATTTTGACGGTGATGGTGATGCTGCTGCTGATGATGATGATGATGATGATGATGATGATGCGGATGATGATGATGATTGTGATGAAGATGCTGTTGCTGCTGCTGCTGATTATGATGATGATGCTGATGATAGTGACGATGATGACGATGATGATGCGTATGCTGATGCTGCTGATGATGCGGATGCTGATGCCGATGATGATGTGATGATGAACACGACACTGATCATACAACGTATGATGATATTGCTGGTTGTAATGCTCTTGATGATGGTGTTGTTGATGCTGGTGATGCTGGTGATGATGATTCTGATGATTATGATGATGACTCTGATTATGATGATGCTGACGCTGATGATGATGATGATGCTGATGCTGCTGATGATGCTGATGATGATACTGGTAAGCTGATGTAATTGATTATGATGACGATGTTGATGTTGATGTTGATATGCTGATGTTCTTGTTGATGTTGTTGGTGGTGATGATGCTGATGACGATGCTGCTTATGATGATGGTGGTGGTGGCCATGCTGCTGCTGATGCTGATGCTGCTGCTGATGATGATGCTGTTGCTGTTGCTCCTGACGGTGATGATGATGCTGATGATGATGATGATGATGATGATGATGATGATGATGATGATGCTGATGATGATGATGATGATGATGATGATGATGATGACTACGACGGTGATGGTGATGCTGCTGCTGATGATGATGTTGATGATGATGATTCTGATGAAGATGCTGCTGATAATGCTGCTGCTGCTGATGATGATGTTGATAGTGACGATGACGACGACGACGTCGACGACGACGACGATGATGATGATGCTGATGCTGATGATGATGATGATGCTGATGATGATGATGATGATGATGATGATGATGATGATGATGATGATGATGTTGCTGATGATGCTGATGATGGCTCGTCCTTGTACGTGAATCGTGTGCGTCTCGTCAGTTATCGGCCGCTCGATCCCCAGTCGTCCTCGCCGCAGCTGCGGTAGCTCAAGCTCCACGGGTGGTTAGCTCTCGCTTTCCACGCCCGCCGCGTCCTACCCCCTGCCGTCACCAACGTCAGACTCCAGTCGGCTCGAACGGGTCCTGGACAAGCTCAAGTGCATTTCGGGGGCTGCTGACATCGTCCTCGACACAGAGGGTCTGGCGATGTTCGGTCAGTGTGAGCATGAGGGCTGCATTCGCACGCTGTTCTCTCAAATTCGCCCGTTTCTATGAGGCCTCTAGTTGCCCGAGGCACCTTTGCATGAACCCTATGGCTGATGCATGCTTGTCGCCTGGGGCCCCTGGCGCTTCGGATTGGGGGGCCGCCCTTGGGGTGGGGCCTTGGACCGGCATGTCTTCTCTGCCGCGTGATGTGGCCCAGTTTGCTCCTAGTTTGAATCCCTCTCCCGTCGGGCCGTTCTCACCTCCTGACCCATCTTCTGGTGCGAGTGGGGTGTTCGCCCCCTGTGCTCCCATGTCTATCTGTACTTGGAACGCGCGCGCTCTTTTCTCGTCTTATCCCGCTGCCTCTATCCATGCTCGTCGTCGCCATCCGCAGCTCTTCCATCTGTGTGGACGTTCGATGCGGTATACCTTCAAGAGGCGCGCGGGACTGCTGCAGATGTCGAGGCTATTGCTCGGGGTGGTCGGTGTCGGAACTCGGTGTTGCACTCGTCTCCCTTGGGCCCTGGGCTTGGTGGCGGAGTTGTCGCTGTCTTGTTCAGCAGTCAGGTCGACCAGTTCAGCGAGTGCGATTCGAGGGTCAGTGCTGGCTTCCTTTCTGAAGGGTCCTCGTTGTGATTTGTGTATCGTCAACATATGCGGAGGAGGGGGAGGAGGGGGAGGAGGAGGAGGAGGAGGAGGAGGAGGAGGAGAAGGAGGAGGAGGAGGAGGAGGAGGAGGAGGAGGAGGAGGAGGAGGAGGAAGAGGACGAGGAGGAGGAGGAGGAGTCCTCGTTGTGCATATGCCGACTACCTCTGATCGTGTCGAGTTTCTTCGCAGGCACCTCGATCGGGTCCAGGCGTCTCTCCCGCGTCCTTCAGGAGGAAAAGAAACACACAGACACAATTAATCCTCCATTCCCCAGAAAATATGGGAAAATATGGGAAGTGGGGGGGAAGACAAAAACCCAGAAAATATGAGAAAATATGGGGATTTTTTTTTATTTGTGTGTATTTATTTGTGTGTTCCAGTTCCCCTTCATTATGGGGAGGCGGAGGAGGATCGTTTTCGCGCAGATGGGTTGCGGTTGGCGGGCGAAAGACTCCAGCCAGACGCTTTTGCCACTCGGTGCGGGTCTTGGGCCGAGCTTTACAGCCATATCCAACGCGGCGCGATGTGCATGAGCACGCGGTCTGTGGGGTCGCTCGCCCGGACAGGATCTACACCGACCGCCCTGCTTCGATTCTCTAAGATTTCGCTGTCACGGTCGGTGCTGTTTGTTTCGCAGCGAAGGCTAGCGCCCCCTCGGGCCACCTCCCTTATGTCGGCCCCGATAGCTGCCCGATCCCCTGCTCTCGCGCCCCGTCAGATTCCGAAATGGATTTCTGAGCGCGAGCTTTACCACAGCCTCAGTCGTTCGGAAGTATTCGAGATCCTGCATGAGCTGCCACCTAAAGAAAAGCTGAGTCGCGTGAATAGATATCGTCTGGAATATGGCTCCTGTCTTGACGGGGTGGCTCCGCTTGAAACCTCCCCGTTCGGTCAGTCAGTTAGAAGCTGCGCTTTGCGCTGATGGCCTTTCTTGGCTGGCGATGTGGGAAGTTTGCCCTCTGTATTAATGCTCTTCACGTTCATCCTGTCTTGCTTTCTTTGATCCAGAGAGAGAGAGAGACAAAGAGACAGATAAAGATGAACAAAGAGTTCTGCGCGGACCCTGATGGGCTTTGGACTCTTGTCGAATCGTTGAAGAGTGCGTGGCTTGATCAGTGAGCTAGGGAACTGGACCAGTGGGGGATTGACGATCTGGAGAAGCCACAGAAAGTACAACGCTTAGCGCACACAGAGCCTGGGCTAAGATGCGCAGTGGGTTGGGTTTGTCTGGTATTCTTTGTGGGGGCGGCACGTTTTCTGCCTCTCCTGATGAGTTCAGTGAGGTTTTGGCTGGTCATTGGTCGCATGTTTTTGCTGAAAGGATTCCTGGCCGCGCCCTCTGGGCGATGGGTGCAGCCCGCCGATAGTGATGTTCGGGGCTGGCGTCTGGATACTGGTGACTTCGTGGGTCGGGTCCGTTCCAAACGTCGGTCGGCGCCTGTGGAAGACGGGATGCCGCGCGGGCGCTGGCAGGCGGGTGGTGCGGCCGATCTTTCATTCTTGGTATACGGGGAGATGTGCGAGGCTTCGGGCCACACCGTGACTCCTGGGATGCGCCGTTGAAGGATGCGCCTCCTGCCCAGAGATGTCAAGGTTGAGGAGAACCCCTTGGAGTCAGCGAGGACTCGTGGGTAAATTCGCCTATGACTTGGGTGAACACAGATGCCAGGATCCTCAGTGGCGCCTTCTCTATTGGCCTCCAGAGAGCGTCGAGGTCTCCCATTGATCCCATGCCGGAAGGCGGCGCCCCTGGTCGTGGCATCTTGGACAGTGTCGTTGGCCTCGAATGGTGGGGGTTTCGCCAGTTGCTAACGGGGAGGGGCAAGACTGGGATTTTGTTCGCGGATTTCTCGGCCGCGTTCCCGTCTCTGATTATCTCATGGGCTCTTGCTGTTCTGAAAGACATTGGTGTCCCTGGGCAGTGGTTGGGTTTTATCGGGGGTTGTGCCGTGAGAACGTCGCAGTCGTCAATGTCACTGGGGCATCGCCGTGTGAGTTCCTTGGACGAGGCGACCATGCGTCGATGATCCTTTTCTCGTATGCGTTGGGCCCTGTTCTTCGATGGACGTGTGTAAAATTGACGGGGCACGTGCCAAGGCTGAGGGCATGCGCTGATGGCCCGTGCTTCTGCACGTACAAAATTCTCCCCGGGCGGCCCCCTTCTCGTCATCATCTCTCCATGCTGGAGCGTGCTAGCTGTCTGTCTCTGAACGTCGGCAAGTGCAAAGTCGCCTCCCCTCGACCCTGGCCAGATTTCTGCCCGCCTGCGTCATGAGGGGGGGGTTCTTTCAATATTTTTGGTTCGTGAGGGTGCTGCTCTATCCAGGATTTTGGATGGGTCCTGGAACGATGGGACAGTCATGGTCGAGTGTTATTCATCGGTTCTGGCAGACGGTTCGGGGACTTCGAGGATTGGGGCTGGGGTTGCCGATGACCATTGAGCTTTTCCACGCGCGCTGTATGTCTCTCCTGGCATGCCTGTTGCAGCTGTGTCCAGTCACGCCAGCGCTGCGGAATGCTTACAACAATGCACTCCAGGTCGTCACTGCGGGGCCGCGATTTGCCTTTTCCTGGAATGTGTTGACTGGGCTGAGGGCCATGGGTGCCTCCATTGCATGCCTCGACTTGTATGTGTTCTCGAAGGCTATCAAGTTTCGGGTTGTGATGTTCCACGCAGCACCGGGCGCCATTTAGTGTGAGTATGAGGATTTGACGGTGAACCTGGCTCATGATGAGTTTATCCCAGCGAGACTCGCGCATCCGTGAATCAAGCGTTCATGTCGCTGGGCCGCGGTCAATGACGCAGGGGCATTCTCAGTCGCCGCCCCCCAATCCCAGGGGAGAAGCTCCAGGAGAAGGCTTTGTCTCGGCTCCGTCAACTTCGGGGGCCCCCTTGCCCCCCTCCTTGCCCCCCTCCGCACCCCGGTGGTGAGGGTTGGTGGGCGGGGGTGGGAGGGTTCAGCATCCCTGACTGTCAGGCGCATGTGCAGAGGATGAAAGCTGTGGACCGTGAGACGACTGCCCGCTTCGTCGCTGATGTGCTGAGGGTTCTTCGCCGTTGGGTGTGTGTATCTAGTCGGCTACGCGCCGCGCTGCTGGGATGTGCGCTTGGTTGCTCTGGGCCTGACGCGGGCGATGACAGACTGCGCGATCGTGAACGCCCTGGGCTGAAGGAAATGCTTCCGAGCATGCTCCCTCGATCGGGGTTGGTACCATCCTGTGCCGGGAAGCTTCGAGGTGACTCCTGGCTCCCGAGTCCGTGTCATTCGGGGCCACAACGGGGGTGGTCCAGGGGCACCCTGGGGCCCGCGCTCGTCGGTTTCGTCTTCTGCTCGCAGCGCTGGGCGCACTGGGTCCACCTGCCCTGGAAAAGGATCTCATCGTCGCTCTCTCGAGACACACTTGGCTCGCCGCCACGTTGAGCTTCAGGAGGCGTTGGTTGCCTCGAAGGTCCGGCGGGCCCACCCCGTTGCCAATCCTGTCCCGCCCCGCTAGCCGCGTGATCCTAGGGCCGCCTTTTTTTCCCCTGGCCCCCATCTTCCGCTTGCGTTCGTGGTTTTGATTGTCAGTGTTAGCATGGCCCCTCAGCCCCCTCACCGCTTGAGCTGACTGGGCCGTTTTCGGGATCGCGTGCTTTGCTGATGATTGACAGGTTTGTTGGGCAACTGCTGGCCCCCTCGGGCGTGATGTGCCTTGGTTGCTTTCCTTGTTGTGCTTCTCCCTATTCGTGTTGCGGCTCCCGTGGTCGTCGCCCCTCCCCGTCTGGTCTGTCCTGCTCTTCCTCTCCTCTCCAGCTTCCTCCTGCCTGCTCTCGGTTCCCTGGGTCCTGCTGCTGCGCTCCCCCGCTCCTGCCTCTTGTTTCAGGAGGGGAAACACACACATAGACACAATTCATCGTCGATTCTCAAGAAAATATAGGAAAATGTGGGAATTGGGGGGGAAGACAAAAACCCAGAAAATATGGGAAAATATGGGGGATCTTTCTATTTGTGTGTATTTATTTGTGTGTCCCAGGGCCCCTTCACTCTTGCTGCCCTCTTCCGCCTTTCCCCTGGTTCCTTGCTGCCTGCGCCCCTTCTCTCCTTCCTCTCTTGTGGCGCCCCTGCGTTCAGCAGTCCACTGGCCAGGGGTGAGACTTGCGATGCTGGGCCCATTCCCCTAGAGAGGGTGGCGTCCCTGTTCGGTGTTCTTGTGGGCTCCGCGGAGCTGGGGGTGACCGTCGGTCTTTTCCTTGGCGCTGGGCGGGGCGATCGCTGGCGTCCCAGGATCCTCTGCGTGCCTGTGCACTTCTCCAGGCCGCTCGCAGCGTTGTGCAGGGCGATCTGGGGTGGTTGCCAGATGTGGCTCCATCGCCAGGCGGTGAAACATCGCGACCGCGTGGAGGATGCAGCTCTGGTGCTGCGGACAGCGGAGCACCCGCGGTGACTATGCTCCGACGCCTGTTGCTGGGCCTGTGACCCGGCACATTGGTTCCTGGGACTCGTGTCGTCCGCCTGGCTGGCGCCAGTGAGGAGCCCGCCCGCGGACGAGTGTCCGCTCCTTCGCCGCCTGCTCTCTCTGCTCCTCTCTGTGCTCCCTTCTGCGCCCCGCAGCCGGTTGATCTCTCTCTGCCGCGCCGCGCGGCCCTGCACCTGGCAGACTGGCTCCCAGAGTCCGCTTTCTTTGCGTCGTTCGGTCAGTAACTGGCGGGGCCTCGAGGTGGGGAGCTCCTCCGTGGCGCGCTCCCGTCGTGCGCGGGCCCCCCCCGCGCCTTGCCGTTTCTCGCGCCCTGTCCCGTGCCGCAGGGTCCTGTTCATCTACCAGGCTCCTGCAGCGGCTGCCTTGTGTTCCGCCGCTCGTGTCGCCCGTTCCTCCTGTTGGCTCCTCGTTTTTGTTGGGGCCCTGGGGTTCCCATGTTTCTCCTAGTTGTGTTCTTGTTTTGTGCCGTGTTGTGTTTTTTTGGTGTGTTGTGTTGATGGCCTGGGTCCTTCGCTTGCCTGTTGTGATTTTGTTGAATCGTGCGCGACCCCTGGCTGCCGCCAGGGTGAGATTGGCGCCGACGGCAGAGTGCCCTGCCGCCTCTGTCTCTTATTGCCGCCTCTCTCTCTTTTTTGTTTTTATTTCCTCTCTCTCTCTCTCTTTCTCCTCATTGTTTGTTGTTTCTCTCTCTCTCTATCTCTTTCTATATCTATATAGATATATTGTTTCTCCCTCTCTTTCTCTTTTTAGGTTTCTCTGTCCCTTTCTCTCTTCTCGGTGTTGGCTTGGCACGCTGCGTCCTCCCCATTGACCTGCTGGGTGGTGGCGCTGGGCACCCAGTGTGTATGTCTTGGCAGTGATAAAAAACTCCTCTTCCTCCTCCTGTTCCAGTCTGTCTGTCTGTCCATCTGCCTATCTGTCTGGGTGTCCATTTGTCTGTCTGTCTGTCTGTGTCTGTCGGTCTGTCTGTGTGTCTGTGAGTCAGTCAGTGAGTCAGTCAGTCAGTCAGTCTGTTTATCTCTCTGCCTGTTTTCAGTGTGTCTGTCTGTCTTCCATCCGTCGCTCCCCTTGCTTTTCTTGCTTATATTCCTCCGTCTTTTTCCCGCTGCCTTCCTCCCTTCCCCTCTTCCTTCCCTCCTCTCACCCCGCCCTCCGCTTCTCAGCTTTCCTGGTTTCTCCCTGCCTTCTGGTTCCTCCGTTCATTCCCCCACCCCCCGCCCTCCAGCTCCTTTCCCTTCCGCGCAGTCCCTCCCTCCCTCCCTCCATCACTCTCTTCCTTCCCTCTCCCTCCTTGACCCCTCGCGCTCTTGGAACTCCCCTGCCATTTTTGCTCGTCCCCCCCCCTCCCCCCCCTCTCTCTCCTCGCATTCCTTCTTCCATCCTTTCCCCTCCCCCTTGCCCCCTTCCTCCCCCTTGCCTCCTCCTCCCTCAGTCCCCGCTGTCGCTCCCGCCCTCCCCTTGCGTCCCCGTCTCCTTGCTTCTCCGCCCTCCGTCCAACCGCCGGCCCCCACTTCCAGTCCATGTCCCCTCTGATCTTCAGGAGGGGAAAAAAACACAGACACAATTAATCGTCGATTCCCCAGAAAATATGGGAAAATATGGGAAGTGGGGGGGAAGACAAAAACCCAGAACATATGGGAAGCTATGGGGAATCTTTTTATTTGTGTGTATTTATTTGTGTGTCCCAGGGCCCCTTCAGATCTGCCCTCCCCTGTCGCTCGCCGGGGAGCCGCTGCGCTGCAGCGGCGGAAGGGGGGTTTGCGCTCGCGCCCCTCCCAGCGCCGCAGGGCCTCTGCCCCTGGGGCCTGGCTGCTGGGCCCACGCCGCGTGGGAGGTGGTGCTTGGGACTCCTCCTCCTCCTCCTCCTCCTCCTCCTCCTCCTCTTGCTCCTCCTCCTCCTCCTCCTCCTTCTCCTCATGTCCCGTCTCCCCAATTCCTCCTCGCTCGCTGGCGGCGGGGGGGAGGGGGGGCGAGGCAGCGGCCGTCCCGGCGCGATGGATCCGGTGCTGAAGTCGCAGCTGATCACGAGCGTGCAGCGCTACTTCCTCGAGCCTGGGCCTCGATGATGATCCGTGGAGTGGCGTGTGGCGGAAGTAGGGGGCCACATGTGAACCCTACCCCCACCCCCCACGATTTCTGAGGGGAGGGAGGGGTTCACTTCGCTCGGGAGCTCCCGAACGAAGTGAATCCCACCCTCCCCCTCGGGAATCGTGGGGGGTAGGGGTAGGGTTCACATGTGGCCCCCTAGGAAGGCGTGAGCAGGGGGGGGGTCTAGCGTCAGAGGATTTGGCGACCTTTTCCGTCCTGGTGCCCAACGCGCATCGTTCTCGCTCCCTTGCCTCCATTGGCGGGAGCTCGCCGTTCCAAGAGCGACAGCTTCATCGATTATCCCCCGGAGGAGGAGGAAGCGGATGAAGAGGAGGAGGAGGATGAGGAAGAGGAGGAGGACGTGGAGGAGGTGGAGGAGGAGGAAGTGGAGGTGGAGGAGGGGGATGAGAAGGAGGGGGATGATGATGATGATGATGATGATGATGCTGCTGCTGCTGCTGCTGATGATGATGATGATGATGATGGTGGTGGTGGTGGTGGTGGTGGTGGTGATGATGATGATGATGATGATGGTGGTGGTGGTGGTGGTGGTGGTGGTGATGATGATGATGATGATGATGATGAGATGATGATGATGATGATGATGATGATGATGATGATGATGATGATGATGATGATGATGATGATGATGATGATGATGATGATGATGATGATGATGATGATGATGATGATGATGATGATGATGATGATGATGATGATGATGATGATGATGATGATGAGGAGGAGGAGGAGGAGGAGGAGGAGCAGCAGGAGACATGTTAGATATCAGTACGTTTGCTGCGTCGTCATCTTCAACTGTGAGAGCGTTTGCTCTTGAGTGCATTTGCTACCCTGATTTTGTGTAGTTGCTGGTAGCTGTTGACATGTTGATGCGTTTGCTGTGGCCCTTCTGCCGTTCAAATATGTTTCGCTTGCTGCCCGTGGCAATTGACATGTGAGTGGGTTTGCTGTTGACTGCGTTCGCTTGCATGTTGCGGTGCAGCGGCTGGTAGCTGCTGACATGTGGGCACATTAGTTTTTTTTTTTTTCTGTTGCAGTTGAAATGCGAATATGAGTCGTTCAGTTGATTTAGTCACACCCCTGCGTTGCCTCAGCACCGTTGTACCGCCGCCGCCGGACATCGATGACTTATGGAAGGGTCTCGGCTTCGGTCGCAGGAAAAAAGGACTGCCCTACCCGCCGCGCGCGCGCCCGGACGGCCGGGCCGTTTCTTCTTAGCGACCTTAGTCATAGCTTAACGGCACATTATGATAGTAAACACAGCTTGGCCGCCGTTGCCCACGCAGGCCCCGTGCCGCCCCTTTCTCGGGGCGGGCGCGCCGCCGTGCGTTAAAACGGCGGGGCGGGCTCGCCGAAGTCGGCACCTGCTTGCCCTTGAGCGGCCTGCGCGGGTCCCAGAGGGAGTCAGTCGGGCCCGTGGACTCGTAATCGCGGGGGCGGCAAAGAGGGGGGTGATGATTATGGGCGTGTGGGTATCATGGCGGGGGCCATGATGTCCACGCGCCCTTTCTCATTTCAGGGCGTCCGTGGCCCCCTCCGGGCTGCGCGCGTGCCGCGGGCCATGATTTGTGCCCCCCCCTCTTGGGCACCCCCCTCTTGCGAGTATCTGGGGATGGTCATTCGTGGGCAGCGATGCTTCCGCTGAGTGTCGTGCGCGTGCCCTGGCGCATTTTGGTGGCGCACCGGCTGCAGCAAACGGTGGGCACTTCCCACGCGAGCGGCTGTCCTGCTCGCCTGGTGTCGTGCGTGGAACTTCTTGTCGGGCTCCTCCCTTTTTCTGTGTTGAAGCAATGTTTCAAAGGAGCTGTTATGTGAGAGACTGTCTCTCCGAGTTCTCATGAATGCGCTTAGTTGATATCGGATTTTCCTGGGCAGTGCCAGCGACCTGCGCCAACTGCCGAGGGCTTTCAATCTCAAGGGCTTACGTTTGGGAGATCAACTTGGGCATTTTTCCTTACCCTCTCTCTTTCTCCTTCTCTCGCTCTCTCTTTCTCTCTCTCTCTCTCTTTCTTTTTCTCTTTCTCTTTCTCTTTCTCTTTCTCTTTTTCTCTCTCTCTCTCTCTGTCTCTCCCTGTCTCTGTTTCTGTCTCTCCCTCTCTCTCTTTCGCAGGGGCGTGTGGGAGCATGTCTTGGGATTCGCGCTGGCATGCGCATCCACGTTTTTACCTTGTCACGGCCCATGGCCGCTTCGTGGGAGTCCCGTGGGCTGCCGTGCGCTTGCGGTTTTCGCCTGGCTGCCGCCAGTGCCCTCCCGTGGGCGCCTGGCGGTGGATTCCTTTCGCTTCGCGGGGTGCAGTACCGCGACCTCTGTCGTTGACCTGCTCGCGCCATGCGCTGGAGCGCGTGGGCGGAAAAAAAGGCACTGCCAGCGTGGTCTTACCGCGTTGTGGGAATGGCGGCACGCCTTCGGTTGGCGAGTTTACATTGCGCGTGTCAGGGGGAGGAATGCGAGGGGGTTCCTGCCGCGAGTGTCCGATGCACGAATTGGGTCGTGCGGCTCGGAGGAGCTGCTGCGTTCCCCGCGGGTGTTGGACCTCCCGTGGTGGCAGTGCTGCACGCTCGTTGTCGTGATTTTCCGTTCCCTCCTCCCCTCGCCCCGCCCATCCTTACGTGCCCTACCTAACAGTGTAAATGTTTGTTCTTCTTTCTCGCTTTAGGTCTGCTTCCCGTGGCTGTTGAAGCATGTTGTCTGCCCACATCTTTTCCCTCCACCTCAAGAGTTTTGTAAAGGAGGAGTAGTAGACGAAACGAAATCACTGGACAGGTCGCCCCTTGGTCCCCCGCCAGCCCGGCGCCAAGGGGCGAGCATATCTATACGGGCGCAGCACCTCGGTGCATGCGCAGCCTTTGGATGGGCCAGGCAGGGCAAGACCCACCGCTGCATCGCGTGGCCCGTGGATGCCCGCACTAGGTGCCTTCGAAGTATCCTCAGACCCTGGTTTAAATTTGCCAGCGAAGCATCCCCGCCGCCCTGGCGTAACACTGCCAGCGAAAGATCCTCGCACCCTCAGCGAAATATCTTCACCCATGGCCTAAGACATCCAGCGACATATCCTTGCACTCCTCGCTCAAAACTGCCAGCGAAATATCTACGTACTTCTGAGTTGAAACTGCCAGCGAAGTATCGTCGTACCCCTATTACAGCCGACGACATATCTTCAACTCCCTGAGTTAGAGTTGCCGGCGAGATATCCCCACGCCCCTCGGTTCAAATTGCCGCCGACATATTCCTTACCGCCTCTGGCCTAGAACTGCCAGTTGAGTGTCCTCACCCCCTGGACTTAGAAGTGCCAGCAAAATATCCTCAACCTCCTGGCTTAAAGCTGCCAGCGAAATATCCTCGCCCCTTGGCGTGAAACTGCTAGCGAAATATCCTCAACCCCCGGCCTCGAAACTGCAGCGATTCACCCTCGCCGCCCATACGTTGGCAGCTGCATATCCTCACCTTCTAAAGCTGCCAGCGAAATACCTTCGTCCCCCTGGCTTTACACTGCCGCCGAAATATCATCGCCCCCGGAAATAAAACTGCCATCCAATCGCTGTAGTGATGCAGTTGTCAGTTCAATCAGCTAGTATACTTCCCGAAAGTCCAAGTACGGGCTGCGCCCGTAAATCAGCCACAAACTTTCGCCAAACATTGGGCTCGCGGATGTTTTGCAACGGGCCTATCGTGTTAATTCGGCACTTCGCCCTTTCAGTCTTCGTCTTCGATGACTTTTATGGAGCATTTGAATTCGCGTTTCGTTATGTGGCTTGCGCCGCCCTGCCGACTCCCTGCGGCGAGTCCGTGGGCCCGTCTTGCGGAAGTTCCGTGCCTTGTTTGGGGGATTTGGGTGCATGTTGCAGCCGCCTTTGGGCCCTCGTGAAGACCCGTTCGGCCTTCCAGGCTGTCTGGAGTTTCTCCCGGGATCTTCTTGGAACCTCCTCCTCAGCGCACCCGGGGTCGTGTTTGGGCGATGCGGGCGATGCCATTGCCGCGCCCATAGTAGTTTGCAAGTTGCAGGCTCCGATGCCAGAGTGTCGGCGGGCGTGGCTCGGGCGCGTGGCGCCTCCGCCTCATGGGGAATGGGGCGGCCTCATGGAAGAAGGAGGGGCGCAGGGAGAAGGAGAAAGAGGAGGAGAAGGTGGTGGAAGAGGGAAGCGCGCAGAGTCCCGCGCAGAGCGCCGAGTTTCTCTGGCGGGTGGCACCCCCAGAACGCGAAGTTCGGTGGCCGCGCCAAGTTTGCTCCACTCTGGACCTGTCGTCCGTTTCCCAATCTGCATCCGTGCGCCCTGTGCTGGGCGCGTTTAGGTTCTTCGTGGTCTCGAGTCGCGCGGGACCATGCGGGCCTGCGCGCTTCGGTTCACCCCGTCCGTCTGGGGTGCCGTTTACAATGCCAGTGGGAGCGATCCCAAGTCAATTACAGAGATATCCCCAGGTAGCCCCAACAGCGCCCAGTTGGCCCCCAACAGCCCCGAGGATCCAACGAGGACCCCAAGAGGCCCCAACGAGTGGCCCAGGAGGCACCCAAACGGCCCAAGACAGCCGAAGATGGCGCCAAGACGGCCTGAGAGAGCTCGGAACCTTCAAACACGCCAGCCCAAGGATGCCCCAAGATAGCCCCAGATGGCCCCAGCAGCCCCCAGGGTAGCCTCAAAGGATCACGAGGTCATCCCCCTCCTTCTTCAAAGTCCTTTTCCTTGGGCTCCTTACCGTCCTCGTCGTCGTCGTCCTTCTCCTCCTCCTTCCTTCCTCCTCGTCCTCCTCCTTGTCCTCCTCCGCTTCGTTCCTCCTGGGGCTCGTCCTTCCCCATTTATTCCCCCATCTCTTTCTCCCCGCCCTCGTGCTTGTCTTCCTACTCGTTGTCCTCCTGCTCCCATCGCTGCCCTCCCCGTCATCCATGCCGTCGTCCGCGCCATCTGCCGCCTTGTCGTCGCCATCATCCTTGCGAGTCCAGTGGACAGCATCGGCGCTTCTCGTTCTGGTCCGATCAGGTTTGTGGGTCGAAGTCTGAGGCGAGAGCCCCATGCCCAAACTGCCGCCCTCCCACAGTGCAATTGATGTTCTTCTGAAGACGCGGCGGCAAGGCGAAAGTCAGGTTTTGAGATCGCGTCGTCGCCCATCTGTGCAAACTTTTTTTTTCGCGACGAGTCTGCGCGACGCCAAAGGCGTGGGCCGCGTGCTGACAATCACCCGCCCTCCATCCTCGCAGCGGTGGAACTGGCTAAGTTGAGTGTGCGTGATGCCCAGGAGGAGGAGGAGGAGGAGGAGGAGGAGGAGGAGGAGGAGGAGGAGGAGGAGGAGGACGAGGAGCAGGATGAGGAGGATGAGGAGGATGAGGAGGAGGAGGGCCCCTTTTTTGAACACGATTCACCCGCCATCCGTGCAGCTGTTTGGTATGCCAAGCTTAAATATCTTAAGCGATAAGGAAGGTTCAGGCAACATGCGCGGCCCGCCCCAGCGACGGGTCTGATGCGACAGGGAGGAGTGATCTATATGGAAGAGGGGTGGATGTGGAGGGAGGAGGAGGAGGAGGGAAGAAAAATATGAGGGATGAGGACGGACGATGATAATGATGAGGAGCGTGAAAGCTCGTGGCTCACACGCTGGCTTATCGAATCAGGTCAGAATCCGATCGGGCCTTTTTTTTCTTTCACGATTTCATAGTGTGTTTCCCAACCTTTCCATTGCCTCTTCTGGGGAATTCAGTGGCCACTGATGCACGTCAACTGCACCGTCTATCCAGTGATTTTCCTATAGAGCACCCGCCGCTTTCTTGTTTGAGCTTGTGAAGTGTCTTCGCCAAGCGGCGAGCACGAAGGTACAAAGTTGGACTAGAAAGCGCAATCTGGTGAGTATTTCTGCGATCCTGAGGTTTTTGGAGCACTTCGAGCTGACCGCCGATGACCGGGGCCTCAGGGCGGGCGAGAAGTATTATATGGAGCAGGCGAAGCTGATGATTCGGGAGGACTCCCCACCTTCAGAAAGTCACTTGCGCTAGTCGGCTGGATGAGAGAGGCGGGAGCAGATTCAGCCCAGCACTGCGTACCGCTCCTGCTGCTGCTGCTGCTTACCGTTTCCTTCCCTTCCCCCTGTCCTCACCTCCTCTCACCCCGTTCCCTTCACTTCCTCTTCCCCACTCTCCTTTTGTACCTCCTCCTCGTACCCTTGCCCGTTACTCCTCGTCGTCCACAGAGCCCTGACCAAGCCAAAGTCTTGCCTGCCCACCAGCCGTGGTCTTGAGGGGAGGGCGCGGTGGACGACCAGCTTCTGGAGCAGTGGGACTACGTTGGCGTGCGCGATGGAAGAATGGCTTCCAGAGAGGAATGCGCCACGCGATGGACTTTTGGCTCCCACAAGTCTTGTTTTCAGTGAGGGCTCGATGGAGGGCTGGCTCCTAGAGGATGCTTCAGAACAGTCTGGAGAGGGGGGGGGCGGGGGTGGACGGTGAGTGGTTGAAGACTGGCTCCCAGAAGAAGAACACCTTGTACGTCAACGTCGCCCATCTGGCGGAGGTTGCCCAGGGGCATGTGCCGAAGCAGTGCTTTTTGTCAAATGTGCTTTGGAGCGAAGGAATGGAGGGGAATGAGGAGAATGGAGGATGGAGGAGGTGGACGATGATGAGGATCATCAACGATATTGCAACAAATCCTCCCTCCAGGTTCCTTATTCATAGGCTCCTAAACAGCGGGTTCATACTCACTGAGGGAAATGCCCCGTTGGAAGACAATCGTTTGAACATCCGGAGTTGAGCCAGAACACCATTCCTGGGACTTCAATGCGGTGAATCACTGTTACTGTTGCGTCTTGACGATCCCGAATCGTGCCAGACCAACAATCCTGGGGCTCTGGCACCTCGAGTCAACGTGACTGTGGGGAGACAGGCTTGTTCACCCGATCGCGGTTAACCCGCTCCGATTCACCCGACCCTGGTCCGAGTGACTCGCGACGGGGTGAGCTAAGCCGGGTGAGTTAAGCACAGGGGGAGTGAAGCTGGGTGGGTTAAGCACCCGATGAGTTAGGCATGGTTTGTTATGCACCGGGTGAGCTAGGACCAGGTGAGTTGGGCATTTGGTGAGTTAGGCACCGGGTGAGTGAGCGACAGGGTGAGTTAGGCATTGGGTGACGTAGGCGCTGAGCGAGGTAGGCACAGGGTGAGTTCGGCATCGGTCGAGTCAGGCACTGGGTTTAGGCTCGGGCTGAGTAAGGCATTGTCAGTGTGAGTTAAGCACCGGGTGAGTTAGGCGCCAGTCGAGTGCACCGGATGAGTTAAGCACCGGGTCCCGCATGAGATAGGCACAGGTTAGAATAGGTTCTACGTGAGTTAGGCACAGGGTCAGTTAGGCATCGGGTGAGTTCGGCACCAGGTGAGTTAGGCGGCGGGTGAGTTAGTCACCAGATGTAGGTGAGTAAGGCGCCAGGTGAGTTAGCGACCAGGCGAGTTAGACCCTTGGTGAATTAAGCGCCAGGTGAATTAAGCATCGGGTGAGTTAGGCACCGGGTGAGTAAGGCACCCGGTGAGTTTGGTACTGGGTGAGTTTGGCACCGGGTGAGTTAGGCATTTTGTAGCGTGTTTTTGCCTTTGCCATTGCAGCCTTTCTTCTTCCACCGCTGGCTACCCTGTTTTGCTAAAGAAGCTATGTTTGTAGCGCGTCCTGTGTGTGTGTGTGTGTCCAACCGGGCGTGTCCACCGCCTCTCCACGATGCCTCCAAGACGCTCCCAGGGTTCCCAACAGGCCTTCGCGAGAGCTCCAAGAGGGCTTCAAGAGGGCCCCAAGACTTCAACAAAGAAGAGCCCAAAGAGTATTCCAATATCCTCGAAAGATGTCCACGAAGGCTCTAAGTGGCGATGTTGAGGGTTTTGTCCTCGTCCTCGTTGTCCTCCTGCTCCTCCTCTTCATTGTCCTTGCCCTCATCGTCTTCCTGTCATTTTCCTCTTCCTCGTCGTCGTGGTGGTAGTGGTCGTCGTCGTCGTCCTCCTCCTCCTCCTCTCGCTCCCACGCGGGCTCCACGGGTGGCCTTAAGAGGCCCTCCAAGGCCCCCCCCTGCTCCCACAGACATCTCTCCCCACCCTGGTTGCCCTCTCTGGTTCACTGTATGTGCCTCTTCGGTTCTTTTCCCGTCGACTCTCAAGAGCATGGGGTCTTTTTTGGTCAGTGGCCTCGTGAAGCGGGTCAAAAGGCGTCCAAACTCAAGCTGGGCCACGACTAGGCAGCGGAAGCGGAAAGCGGAAAAGCAAGACAGGCGCAGCAGGGCGTCAGCTCAGAAGGGCGAAAATAATTGGTAGTCCCATACCTGGTGGCGTCCGAAAATCCCGGTGGCTACCAGCGAGTAGACGCAGCCAAAATGGCGCGGCGGCGCGACCAAAACCACGTAGAAGTCGATCACTCGGTGAGCATGGGGTACTTTTTAGTCAGCGACCGCGGGCGAGCGCGCCGGCGGCGAGTCCAGTCAAAGCGGGGCACGCAGCGACGACTTAAGCTAAAGCGACGGAGGGTGGCCACACCTACAGCGGCTCACCGAGCCCTCGCGCAGCAGCTCAGCGGCGGACCGGCGAGTGGGGGGGCAGCTGAAACTGAGCCGTACTGCCAGCGTGCAAGTATGCAAAGCGTCGGGAACACCAGGGAGTCGGGACGCATGACGACCTGGGCCAGGAGCCGAAATCAGTGCAAGGACGCAACCCCGGACAACTGCGTGAGTACCAGGGTGGCCCGAAGGACCGTCGATCAAAGGATTAAAGCCAGGAGGCGAGAGCGTTGGCGGGCTGCGGAATCCCAGGGTGGCCGTAGCCGCAAAGTCCCGAGGCAGCGAAACGCACGAGTGCGGGAAGCAGCAAAGCTGCCACGCAGCCAAAATGGCGCGGGTCACCACGGACCAGTGCGTGAAGTGGCGCCAGGTTGACCCACCACGAGCCCTGAACAGGGCCACGAGCTCGAAGTCAGCACACCAAGGTGGCGACAGGCGGGCGAGAGCACCACGGGGTGAGCATGGGGTACGCGAAGCGTGAAGAATTCCTTGTTCAGCGTGGGCTTGGGGCACTTTCCAAAACAGCGGCGTTTGTAGCACCTCCCTGTCCTGTGTCGGTGAGGGCGTGTCTTCTGCAGCGTCGTCTTCCAGTCGCCTGGACTCGTCTCCAAAGCGGCGAGCTGGCGCTTTTTTCTTTTCAGTGGGTGTCGGTATCGGCGTTTCCGCTGAAGCGCCGAGCGAGTTAGGCGGTGGGTGATTTCCGCACCAGGTGAGTGCGGCCGGGTGGCGCCAGGTGAGTTTCGATCTGGGTGTGTTTGGCACGGCGAGGTCCGTGCTGGGTGAGCGGGGTGAACAGTGACCCTTTTGTCCCTCTCTCTCTCTCTTTCCTGTCCTCTCCTCCTTTGTCCCCCGCTCTTTCTTCTCAACTCGTGGCGTTTTGTAGAGCGTTTCTTCCCTGTGTCAGTGTGTGGTTCCTTGTTCGGAGTGGGCTCGGGGTGCTTTCCAAAGCAGCGGCTTTTTTGTAGCGCCTCCTTCTCTGGTGTACGTGCGGGTTTATCTTCTGCAGCGTTGTTTTCGAGTTGCCTGGGCTCGTCTCCACAACGGCGGCATTTTCTATCGCGTCTTTTCCTTTCGAGAGCCGGCGCTTTCTTCGTGGTCTTCTTGGGTTGGCACGTTCTCAAAAACAGCGGCGTTCTGCAGCGCCTCTTCCGCGGGTGTTGGTGTCGGCGATTCCGCTGGGGTGTGTTTGGCACGGTGAGTTGGGCACCAGGTGAGCGGGGTGAGCACTGACCCTCGTGTCCCTCTCTATCTCTCTCTCTCTCCCGTCCTCTCCTCCTTCCTCCTCCCGCTCTCTTCTTGTCAGCTCGCGTCGCCGTCGGCGTCGGCATTGTCGCCGCCGCCGACCTGTGCCTCTGCCGCCCTGTGGGGCGCGTGTTCCGATTCCGTCCGATCCCATGTGTGGCCGACCCGAAGTAGAGTTTCAGATTTGATTGAACAGGGGACCGGCTGAATCAGACGCTGCGTGAGGTTGGCGCCTGGTGAGTTGGGGTGTTTGGAGAAAGTTGGCGGCGTTTGTTAGCGAGTGCTGCGCATGCGGCCGTGTGGGCGTTTGTTGTTCGCAGTTGTCTTGTATGTAGTCGTCTGGGGCCGCTCGGCATTCCTTGCGCG